ATCGATTTCAACCGATTGATTTGCGAAAAAATTTATATTTTTAACAGGTAATTGGATAGCATATGATTGGAAAGTATTGGAAATATCCACGATTTTTTCAAATAAGTTATCGATTTCAACCGATTGATTTGCAAAAGAATTTGTATTTTTAACAGACAATTGGATAGCAACAGATAATCGGTTCCAAATACTAGCAATACTAGAAAGTATTGGAAATATCCACGATTTTTTCAAATAAATTTAAAGTTATTGATTTCAATCGATTTGCAAAAATATTTTTATCAGGTAATTGGATAGTAATAGTAATAGATAATAGGAAATAGATAATCGATTACTAGCAATACTATAGTTAGAAAGTATTGGAAATATCCACGATACTTGAAAGTTGCACCTATTGTTATAATATCATTTACTCAATTATTATAACAATATTCGTAATGTCAAAATCAAAGCTATCACGTTACAACATCTTCACATCCTTATCTCCGTTTCACGAGCTAGTTTATCAAATTCGGGAAAAAATTTCAAATTTGACTCCAAATTTTCCACCAATGTCATTTTCATTTCGGCCAATTATAACAGACGGCGGGATACAACGAATTCGTACGAATTGAAAGCTCGATGGCTTCGTGGATGGAGACACGACCACGGTCACGGAGAAACCGTTTCGACGTCCGGCGTTGTGGATGACTCGTTGGCTGCCAATTGATCAGGAAGCATGGTCGTTAGGCAACGGCGTTTAACGTGATTAAGTCGCCGAATTCGTACGCGATAGCATGCCGTGCCGCTCTTCCCATCCGCAATGAAACGGTAACCGATCAAAAGCTCCGCATTACTTATGGCTGATTGATCGATAGAACACACTCCCTCTTCTCTCTCTCTCTCTCTCTCTCTCTGTTCTCGCGCTTCCTCTTCTTCCTCCTTCCTCTTTTTCCTTTCGTTCCCCGAAGCAAGCACCGTGGAAACTTCGTCTCTGACCACATTCCGCTCGTTACGATCCGCTTAAATTCGTTCCCTTTCGATTCATCGATCGATACGTTGTTTATCTGCTGATCTCTACGTACAAGCTGATTAAAGCGAAATTTCGAGGCGAGAGATTCGTTGAAAAGTCGAATCTCAGGACAGGAGAGAATTTTTTATCTCGTGCGATATTTTTGAGAAAATCCGCGTCGATCGATCCGTCTCTCTTTTTCGATAAAATTATTCTTTATCGTTGAAAAATCTATTCTTCGTTAAACAATAAGATTACTTATTTTACAAGTATCTTCGATTATAATCAATTTATTCGAGGAATAATAAAATCGGGGAAAAAATTGAACGGAATTGATTCGTTGGAATTGGTTCCTGTCGAAAAATCGAAATTCAATCCTCGCAGGATTGTATTCGCGCGCGATATCGATCCGTCCCCCATTCAAAAATTAAGAATCGAAAATTACGACGAGGCTCGGCGAGCATCTTGGCAGGGCCGCGGGCTGCTCGTGCCCCCGGTGACCCAGTAATCGAGGGGGTCGATATTCACCCCTAACGGCGTCTAACGTTACAAGGTATCGCGTGAACGCCCCGCGTGTGTCTCCCTTCAAATTCGAGCGCTTTCGCGCGGGGGGAGCGGTGCGGGTTCGACGACTCGTCGCAAGCCGAGGAACCAATCAACACGGCTCGATCGCTTACTTCTCTCCAAAATTCTTTCTAAAACTATACTAAACTATACTAAACTAAACTATACTAAAACTATATACTATAGTTATAGTATATAGTATATATATATATAGTTATAGTATATAGTATATATATATACTATATATACGGAGTTTAGAAAGAAACAGCAGGTTTAATATGTATACATTTTTTGGAATTTTGTTGTATTTTTCCACGTAACGTAAGAAATCCTCTTCAGATTTCGAGATACGAAACGTGTTCTTTCGAGCAGGATTCATTTTTTCGAGTATTTCGCTTCAAGATTTGGAAATTGTTTTTTCTTACAAGATTTCCTGCGAGGTAAGGTTCTAATTTGGATGAAATTCGGATGAAAGGTGAAAAATCTCCTTTTCCTATTTTCTTTCGTGTTATTGAACGTAGTAGTAGAGGATGGATAGATGGGACGGATCGATTTCTTATTTCGACACCGTTCGTAATATCCGGCAAACACGAGACCGAGCATTCGTTCCCTCCAATGAGAACTGAGAGACACTCGACAACTTTTAAAAGCCCCTGACGAACGACTTTTCCTTTTTATCCTTGAATTTCGTTGATTAATCGATTCCTCTCCATAATCTCCTTCAAATCCGGAGGAATTGAATTTTTGTGTCTCTCTCTCGATCGATCCGATTGATCGATACAAGCGTTGTCGTTTTCCTTTTTCTTTTTTTTTTTTTTACAATAATTTCGTTAATTTTTAATAAAGGAAGAACGAACGAAGTATGCTCTTTCGACTCAACCTCGTTCTTTAATTCGAAACATTCTTTTCTCGATGTTAAAGAGTAAATTTAGAGAATTATTTAAATTTAGAAAATTAGCGGTCCCAAGTTGATAGCAGAAATTTTCTATCTTATTTACAACCATCTCGAAAGGTTCTTTAACCTTTTATATTATATATTTGTATATTATATATTTTTATGACGCCGATAAAAAATTTATCTTCATTCTTTCGAATGAAAACAAAGTAAACCGCGTTATTAATTCGAATCCCTTTTTTACCTCTGCTCACCTAACCTATTTTTATAAAGACGAATCATCGATCGTTTCTCGTTAAGCGCCAATTTAAACGTAATTAATTCAAACGTCGTTTCTCATGCAACGAAATTAATCCGGCTTTGTCAACGACTACGAGCGAGGACGACAACAACAAAAGTAGAATTGTAGGATAGATAAGCGCGTGGATGGAACAGAATGCAACAAGATCACGGATTGAACGGGCAACGGTAGTTGAGTTATCTCGGTGAAACTTTTAAATAGCTTTCTCGCTCGCCGGGCAACGTGGACGCCCCGATAAAAAGAGTTTACACGAAGCCGGTCGGTTATTTCTTTAAGCCTTGATTCTCCTTCTTATTTTTGGCGGCCACCTGCAAATTTCGCGATCGTGCAATGCAAATAACGAGGGGGGAGGAGGATTCTGATCGATCCCCGGAATCGAATCTGCATAGTAGTTTCTTGCTTGGCAGTACAACGATAATGCCAACTTTTTCTTTCTGTGGCTTGAAGAAAGAGGTTCGTTCCGTGCTCTTGGAGAAATTATATTTGTACATCGAAGAAGAAAGAATTTGATTTAAAGAAATTAAATACACGTATCTCTCTATGGAAATTTATTTTTGATTAAACGGGTTTCGGGAAAAAAAGAAACTCTATTCAAGGAAAGAGATAAAACACGAAGGGAGAAGGATTGTAAAATCGATCGAATCGTTTAACAATCGTTGAAAAACGAGAATCTCGTGGTGACAGTCGTTTAATTTTGTTAATGATATTTTAATAAAAGTACTTTGTTCGAAAAGGACGCATCTTGCGTCTTGATTGAAATCAAGAAATGTGAAAATAACATCATTCGTTTTGAAACGAAGAAATATTCATTACGTAAGCTTAATGCACACGATCAGAACGAATTCCGTGCGAAAGTAGGAGAAGATTTCGATAAATTTAGATGCGGCTCTCTTGTTGCTCCTCGTTGCACGAAAACCACGGTTTTTGGGGTCGTGGAAAAACGTTGTAAACGTTTTGAATGTTCCTGCTTCGATTTTCTAATTTCCAGAAGTCTCCTCGTTCGAACGAGGCTGGGAGGTTATTCACAGAGGGTTTCAGAACCCTTTCTCGAATAGTGGCCAGAGAACTCGTGGAGACCACGAGTGGACGACCCTATTTACTTCGAGTTCGATTCCGCCGTGATGTCAAAAGTACTCGAATGCTTCGGCAAGGGACGATGATGGGGACGAAATGCAAAATTCGAATATATCAATTTTTTCAGCTTATTTTTCCTCACTTTCCTCATTTTTCCTCCAACTTGGGCAACCATGCGTTCGATGAAACATCGAACGTTTTTTAATGACAGAGATTTTTAATGACAGAGATTTTCAATGACAGAGATTTTCAATGACAGAGATTTTCAATGACAGAGATTTTCAATGACAGAGATTTTTAATGACAGAGATCCCCTCCCCTTTTTTTCATAATGGAACGATTCATATCATATGAAAATCATCAATTCGAATGAAATTCTTTCCAATCAACTTTCGTATCAATTTTTCTTTCCTCGAACGGGAAGAAGAGGGAGGTGTGGAAATAAAAAATTGGAAACATTCAATCCTGTTATTGAGATTAATTTAACATTGCAGAAGAAGCAATGATGGCGATGATTCAAATTTCTCGAGTTTTCTGAAATCGACGATGAACCACGTCGTCCATGGTTGAGGGGGACGAGAGAAAAGTGTTGGAGGGAAACTTCGATCGCTGTTAAGCGGATTTACCGTGGCACGCGCGCACGTTTCACGAGGACAGTGGAGCGGATAATGACGTTAAGAGGATCCGGAAGCTTGGCTGTGGTCGAAAGGAAAAGTGTGCAGCCGACGGATCATCTATCTCTCCTGTTCGAATCTCGTAGCCGAGTTATTATACGACGCATCCGTGTTGCCCATCTCTTTGATATTTGGCGCGTGTCGCGTGCGGCTATTATGCGCCACCTATCGATTTACTTGTTGAATATCTATGGATAACGCGATACGCATCGACGACACGGAATTATCTATCGATTATCGCTTCCTCTTCCCGTCGTTTTCGTTTGACAAATCGTGTATCAACAACGTGCGAATTATCGATTGTTCCACGATTGAAAGATTATGGATTGATTCCATAAGCAAGATTTTCGAGGGAAAAATTGATGATTTTCGAGGATATGTTACGAGAGAGTCGTGTTGTAACGCGTTCGAAAATCGATCGAACGGAACAGGATTTCTATTTCTAGGGATTTAAGTAGTCGATCAAAGTCGATTCGTAACGTAACACGAATTCTGTTTCAGTTACTTGGAGATATACAACGAGAGGGTGAGAGATCTTTTGAAGCCGTCCTCGAGCACGGGAGGATTGAGAGTTCGCGAGCATCCTCGACTCGGCCCTTATGTTCAAGGTACAGCCGATTTTCGTTTCCTCCAATTCGCTCCAGTTATTATAAATTATATCGACAAGATCAAAATTTCTTCTCTTCTGTGAATTAAACTTAAATTTCATTCACTTCGTACACGGAAATTGGTGACAAAATGTAACGATTTATTTTACATTCCATATCGTAAATTTAAGTTTGCAGAACTTTGCAAAACTATACGTTAAAATTAATCTCTTCCAGCGCTCCCGCGCATTTTTTAGCGCTCTAAAAAAAAGCATATAAAGCACATATGCTTTTTTTTAACTATTATTTATTATATACGTAAAATTAAATCGATTAATTATTATTTTTTTTTACAAACTCGAATGAAGCATTCCCCTTTGTGCGATGGTACACGCAATTATATCTGATTTCCCTCCTTTTTAAATTCGACTTTACATTTTCTTATTGTAAATTTCTTCTTGCCTTTTCCTATTATTCGAGCGTTTTTAATTCCTCGAATCGAAAAAAGTCGAGTCGAAAAAATATTAAAACGTGATCCGTGAGCAATATCTTAACATCATACACATTTTTTTAACCCCTTTTGATTCAATTTTCACCCCCTCCTTTTTTTTCTCTCCTTTCGTTCCCACACAACAGGTTTGACCCATCACGTGGTGCGCACCCTGGGCTCGTTGATGTCCTGCGTGGAGGAGGGTACGAGGGCACGGAAGACAGCGTCCACGTTGCAGAACCCGAGCAGCAGCCGCAGCCACGCTCTGCTCACGATCGTGGTCGCGGAGGGGTCGGCGAGCGAAGCGTCCTCGAGGGCGAGGAGGGCATCTCGCGGCGGCAGCAAGCTACGACTGGTCGATCTGGCGGGAAGCGAGAGCGCGGCTACGTGCGCTGGCGTTCATCGGCTGAAGGTGAGTCGTCCACGTCCCCTAAAATAAAAAAAAAATAATCGATCATCGGGATCATCGATGAAAACCAGATCAGAAAAGGAGAAATCGATTGCTCCTCCGTTTTGACACGGATCGTTCTACACGTTCTTCACTTGCGCGTGGGAGGAAAAAATTGAGGAAAGAAGGAAGGGGAGGAGAGGAAGAGAGGGGAGGGAGAATGACACGTGCCTGTTTGCAGGAGGGCGCGAATATAAACAAGAGTCTAGTGGCGCTGGGGAACGTAATATCGGCCCTTGCGGAGAGAGGCACGAGCCCAGGAAGTGGCCCAGGCAGGAGGTTCATCCCTTATAGAGATTCTTCGCTTACTTGGCTGTTGAAGGACGCACTTGGCGGGAATGCCACTACCATTATGCTCGCCAGTAAGTGCCTCCTCTTCCCTTTGATCTTCCCTCTCTCGGTATTATCCACCCTCCGCGCCCCCCCCTCCCTCCCTCGTCTTATTTATTTTTAGAAGATGCGCTTCAAGAGAGATGATTTACACGTTGAACGGAGCTTTCTTTTCGTAACTCTCTGATTCGTCGTTAATCAGGTTTACACCAAGCCTCGTTCCAGATCCTTCTCGTTCCATTCAGAGACCTCCCCCTCCCCAGGTTACTTTCCTCCATTTCACCTCCCACTCCCCGTTCCCAGGATCGCGATATTTAATTTTGGAAGACGACTTGGAGGAAGAGGAGGAGGAGGAGGAGGGGGAGGAGGAAGAAAAAAGAAGGAGAAAAATCGATGGCCGCTTTTTCATCCTCCAACAGTCGTCTTCGCCATCCACTTCGTCACACTACCTACACTACTCCTCCAACCTCGTCGTCGCTTTGCTTAACTCCATAGCTTTCCATAAATTCCAGTTAATTGCCAGAGGAGAATTATTATCGCGAGCCTCTGATTCATGAAATTATCCCTCCCCTCCCGCGATACTCGAGCAGCCCGGAAACTCGAGGATGGTAATTGGTTTAAATGCTTTTTCCAGCCGGGCTAAGGCGCCTGGAGATTAAAATTCGATAGCCAAGGCGCGAAAGCGTGGCGACGGGAATCGGTAAATACGAGATCCTTTAAATCGAAGTCGCAGTTTCGCATTTGTCGACGTTTCAATTTTCGTCGACAAGGAATGGAACGCGACAATTTTTCAATTCTAGATGGATAGATAAATAGATTCGCAGTAGAAACAGATGAATCTCGTTTGGTAAGAAAGAGACGATAATTTGGAGAACAAACGAGTTGCCAGTAGAGTGGGTCGATGGTAGATTGATTTGTAGAATTTGAACATTGTAGTTGGACACGTAGAGGGAACGGTATGGAATATAAAAAAAAAAAAAACTCTGTTTTGACGCATCTGTGCAGAAAGGGTGAGTTGTATTTGCAAAGTAAGTAGAACGAATCGCTTGCGATAATCATATAGCAAACGAGCGTAATAAATCGCTCCATTCATTTTTCACGAGATACGCTATATTATTGTTAATAATCGAATCGAAAAAATTTCATAGCCGATACGCAGATTTTTCGTCAAACATTTCCTGGAGATTCGATTCCATCCGATCGAAAAAAAGTGTTTTTGTATTTTGCGATTTATCGATACGGAGGGGGAGGGAAAAAAAAAAAAGAAGAAAAAAAGAAAATGCATTTTTTTTTCTGTTCGCACGACAAGCGCATGGACAATCGAGGCCGCTATTATTTCGTTCCACGTTTCGTGATTTTCGATCGTTCTAACGCAATAACGCGACTCTGTGTTTAAACGAGCAAAAGAGAGAAATTTATCCCCCTTCTTCGAATTATTCCACTATTTCCAGACGAGTGGAAACCATCTAATGCGTCCAACACGGTATATAATCGGTGGAATCCAGATGGAAAAACGATTGGCTAATTAGCGCGGCCGGGCTCCCGATGCCACGTAAACGGAAGAATTGGCAAATATTCGTAGGCCGGCCGCGATGCGTATAATTAATCGCGGCGAAATATTCCAAACCGATGATCATCGGCGTCCAATTGAATTGCTAATAGCATTCGGGCTTATTATCGACCCGGGATGGCGAGGGATGGTAGACGTTTAATATTCAGTATCTGCATTAATGGTTGACCGCGTGTTACGCATCGTGGTCCCCCTTTTTTCTCTCTCTCTCTTTTCTTTTTTTCCAAATGTAAAAATGACATTTTTCATTTTTCTTTCTTTCTTTCTTTCTTTCTTTTTTTTCCCGCGCGAAAAATTGGAATCGATGTGAAAAAAACTCGAATTTCTGCTCATTTCTTTCCCGCCGATTGCTCTGTCTCAGCCCAATTCCCATTCTCGATGAAATTTAAAATTCGATCGATGAGTCGCAATCTCGAGGTAACCACGATTAATTATTAAGAGGTGATGAGGGAGTGTAACAGCAGTGTCAATATTATTTTCGTTCACGTTTTTTCGTCCTCTGTTTCCAGCTATCTCGCCAGCGAGCGGAAGTTACAACGAGACGGCCCGCACGTTGCGATTCGCGCAGAGGGCGCAGAGCGTGGTCAATCGGCCGATGGTCAACGAGGATCCGGTGGCGAGGATCGTTCGTGAGCTCAGGGCAGAGGTGGCCAGGCTGAAATCCTTGCTTCTGGAAAAGGCAAGTCATTGCCCCCTTTACGGAATTACGCGATATTTTTCCAATCTGTGGTTCCCTCCAATGTGAAATAAACCACGAAAAACGTGTTTCGTTTCCCGAATTGGTTCGGCCGTTAAATCTTACTTCCTCGTACATTGCACGCCGTAAAACAAACGGCAATAACGGGCGAACGGTTATAATTTTTCGTTTCGACGTGAATATTAATAGAAGGGGGAGGGGGAGAAAAATAAATTCAACTTCGTCGAAGACGAGGAAATCGATATGTATTTTATGAACCGAGATCGATTTCGCCATTACATTACATACGCGAAATCTCTCCGCGTTGTTACGTAGGAAAGGTTTGCTAGCGAGCAATAGCAAGTTTATATGTACGTATATACATATATATGAAATCGTCATTATGCAAATGAAACGCGCGAATCGTGCATTTGATACTCGTTGACCGTTCGATCCTTCCCGTGGAATTGGTCGAAAACGATTGCTGATAAAATACAGTTTCCCAGGTGCGTGAGTTTAAACGAGCGATCCTCCATTCCATCTATCGAGTAGATTTTACAATATCCTTCGATCCATGGCCCTTCCCCGTGTTACGTAATCGGTCATTAATTAGCTTCATCGAATTTACTCTGGCTCCATTTATGATCGCCGTTATACCGATTGCTCGTCGATTTTCGCGTTTCATTCCCAAAACCATGTCCCAATTATCTTAATCAAGCCGCTCCGGCCGCTCACCGCCGTTTCGACGTTTCGACGTTTCGACGAACGTGTTCGAAAACGACACGGCGTTATTTTAATCACACGCGGCACAGATCGAAGGAGGCGGGCGAGTCGATTGGCGCGAAACGATCGATTTCGATTTATCAACGTTTGTTTTCGAGAAAATTGACGATCGAGTTGCGCACTCGCTGATGCGAGTGCGTAGATAGCCATGCCCGCGTTACGATCTCTATCGTTAAAAGTTGAAGAATTTTCGCGGAAGAACACGTCGTAATATCCTCACCGCCACTTGTTAGGTTAGGCAAAGTCACGTGACACGATGCGACGCTTAGCCTTCACGGTCACGTGACGTACCTTTGCCTAATGACGTCACATTATCCCCACTGTTAGATTAGGCACGTCACGTGACGCGATTCCACGCCCGAATCCAGTCACGTGACATCACACGTGACGTTACGCGGTTAGATTAGACGGAGACAAATGATACACGTGCCTCTTTCCAACCACATCTTTTCCAGCGTAGAACAAATATTTCCATATCCGTCCTTCCTTCCAACCACCAATCCCATCTGCTCTCCTCTTTCAACTTGTTCTTCTCCGCGTAGCGCATCCAATCCATTCTTGCGAAAAATCTCTCTCTTTTGCAGAACACGAAGGATCCGGACACGAAGGTGTTGTGCCGTTGCAGGAAGGGAATTCGAGAAGAGTTGATCGGCACGGAGGGAGTTGGATCGTGCGAACGAAATTCGAGGGGGCAGGAGGGGGGGATAGGATCGATGGCGAAGGAGGGGAAGAGGCGGAAGGCCGTCCCTCTTCAAAGATCCAATTCCACGGACACCGTGGCCACGTACCACCAACTCGTCCCCTGCTCGACGGGGAGGAGATTCGGTTCCTTGGAATTTTTCGAGAGCGATCGTTTCGCGGCCGGCTATAACCGAGCTCGAGTGACGGAGTTGAAGGAGGAGGAGGGGGCTGGGGAGGAAGTGAGCGAGATCCACGAATCCGTGTTCGTCGACATACCTACCTTGGTCGCCGTCCTGATCAAACCTGACAATAACCCCGACGAATCCTCGGTGCGGATCGAGGAGATCTACTCGGACGAGGTTGTGGACGAATCGTCGAACGACGTCGAATTCATCGAAGGCGATCGATCGTACGAGAGACAGGATTCGCGCGACAACAACGACATATATAATGTGAACGCGTATTCCTGCCCGAGAACGGGACAACAGGTGGACAAGCCCAGGGAGAGGAAGCGAAAGTTTCGCAAGCAGGACTCGGTGGACGCGATCCCCTCCCTCACGAATTTGCACGCGTCGAGGAAGTTCGGCTCGGTGGAGGCGATCCAGAGGAGGGATCACCCCGCGTTCTCGTTCGAGAGGTCTTACACGAGCTTGGAGAAGCCGCTGCGCCCCGCCTCCTCCACGATTCCCGATCGCGTCGCGAAAAAGTTGAACGACATCCGGGAGGTGGAGGATCGAAGGAAGAGGAACTCGAGCGGGGTAGGTAAGAGCAACGAGCGGCTCGAGCGTAAAGGGAGCAACGACTCGGATAAAAGTGCGAAGACGGAGATGTGCGGCGCGAACCAATCGAACAGGGCGAGAAGCTACGGGGGGAAGCCCAGTTTGGAGAGCTTGAGGCGGAAGAGCAGCAAGGACAGCAGTTCGAGCAGCTCGAAGGACGAGCAGATCTCGACGATTTCCACGGGTCGGGGTGACAAGTCGTCGAGCAGGAAGAATTCACTGGAGCAGGACTCGTCCTCGATCCTCAAGAATCACACCCCTATACAAAGGGTGAAACGCGCCGAGATCGTGGCCGCGGTCACGGAGAGGTTGTACTCGAGCAAGAGGGGCGCGGAGGATTCGCCGGGGATGCGCTCACCGACGGGGGAAGGGACCGCCGACGGAGCGACGAAATCCCTGGCTAGATTGAAACTGCAGGAGATCTCGAGGAAGATGCTGGGCAAGCGCAGACGGGTGAGCGTGGACACGCAGACCGATTGCTCGAGGACCGTTCGGATGAGGGACACGGCTTCCCTCACGGAAACCGAGCCGATCGCTCGTCGCGACGTCGCGATCTCGACCGATCACCGCCAAGTTTGCGAGTACAGATCGGACAAGGGATTCGGGCCCGTGTTGAGGGTGAAGGAAATGGCCACCTCGACCGATAAACCGAGGACGGTGGTCAGCGTGGTCAGGTGCAGGGACGTGGGCAGCTCGGCGACCGATCTCGAGGATTGCGATTACGGGGTGGTACACTCGCCGCGAAACGATTCCGGTATACTGTCGGACGACGGCCAGAATTATTACGCGGGGAGCAGCAATAATCCGAGCAGCGTGGACGTGTCAGATTTTTGCCAAGAGGGGCAGAGGGGGAGGGGGACGTGCACCGAAAGTTCCACCAATACCAGCTCGTTCTCCTCCACGTGTCGAAGTTTCGCGGTGCAGACGTTGCCACGACTCGACCAACCTGCTTGCCCCCAACCTGCTTGCTCGAGGCGGTGTTGCGCGGCACCCGTACAACACCACCAATCCGGGGAGAGGAGCGTCATCTCCATATCATTGCCCGACTCGGTGAGCATCACGATCGAGAGCGCGAGTCGGGGATCGAGGATCTCGACTACGGGGAAGGACGCAACCAAGGACGAGAGCGCGCAAACGAAAGCACGGCTGGACGAAGAGGAGACGTTGTCGCCGACGTTGTCTCGTTCGAGGGATCGGACCGTGTCGACGCCCAGCCAGACCGACGGCAAGGTGTTCAGGATCGAGAACATATTTCACGATCCTAACAACGCTGTTGAGAGGAGTTATTCTTCTGGCTCGAAGAGTAGTCCTCGAGGAGCGGGGGGCGAGGAGCGGGTTCCAAGGAATTCCATTACCTTGAGGAATTCCCTTGGGACGTCACACGTGTCCCAAGGGGAGGAGACGGGGCACGAGCTCGAAGGATTCGTCAGAGACGGTTTGATCACCGAGGCGTTCATCAACCGGAAGCGAGAGAGTTTCACCTCGAGGAGGCGAGGACGCTCCCTCCAGGATCCGTCGAAGAACGAAGTTTCGATCGACGCGCATTCGAAGGAAACGGTGGCTCCGCCGTCGTTTTGGCAACTGGAGATCGGGGGAAGTCCGTTCAAAACGTGTCGTGACGTGGCGTCTTTTCGCTCTGGATCGAACGATAATCACGATAATCACGGCTTCTCGGACGACAGTTTGGATTATAACGAGAGCAATGGCGACGATCCGACGACGTCGTTGCTGAAGGTTAAGCAGGGGATGGGGCGAGAGAGGGAGGAGAGTTTTTGCCCGCCCGACGTGGTGGCGCACACAAAGAAGAATTGCCCGAAATCGATCGAAGCGGATCCCAAGAACGAGCCCGTTGCCGATTTCGAACGCGATCGAGGGGAATTCCCGACGAGGAATCCCGAAATCGTCACCAATGCCCACGGCCACGAGTCCCTCACGATTTTTGGTGGCAAACCGTTTCGTAACTACGGGGGGGAGATGGACGAATCCGACGTTTCCCCGAGCAATTCCGGAAGGAAGAAGAAGGTATCCTTCTCGAGTTCCACCACCGTTTCCGAGAAGAGGTTCGACTCGATCGGAGTCCTGAAGTCGATCATCAAGAGGAGAAGGAGGAGGAACGCGGCGGCCGACGAGTCCTTGAAATCCTTCAACCCTGTCCTCTATTCCTCGAACGAGGAGACCGAGGACTCTCGGCAAGAGGGGAGGGGAGGGTTAATATCGAAGGGTGGTTGGAGAGAGGAGACACGATCGGGCAGCTCAGAGGAGGGCAAAGAGGACGAGGGAGAGTTCGAGGAAGAGGAAAGTTCGAGGAAGAATCGCAGGAGATTCTTCGCGGACGAGTCATCGTGTAGCGAGTCGGAGAGTTACGAGAACGTGGAGGAGGAAGAGGAGGAGGAGGAGGAGGAGGAGGAGGAGGAGGAGGGTAGAAACGTTCTCGAGGAATATCTGAGCGAGGCGGTGACGTTGATGCGAAATCTCAACTCCGGGACGAGCGCGTGAGAATTTTTCTTTCTATTCGATTAATTTATTAATTGCCCTCTAATCGTTCGAAATTTTTCCAGAATGATTTTAAATATCTTTCTTTTTTTTAAATTTCTTCTCAAGGTGTCGCGCGTCGATGGCGCATCGGGGCCGAAGCGGGACCCCTTCTTCCTCTTGGGATCGCTCGAAATTCACGATCGATCGCCGAGGCGTGGAGAACCCGCCACGGATCGGCGACTTCTCGATCGACGCGTCGACGGAGATCTCGTACGAGAGGTGCGTGAAGGGTATCCAGAGGCTGGAAGACTGCATACGAAGGATCGACAGGCACAACGAGTTGCTGAAGGAGAAGTACGGGGTCGATTGCGAATCTGCTGGCTCTAGACCGGATCTAGCGAATCCCAGCACGGATTCTCATCGAGCATCCAACGACGAGGACGACGACGACGAAGAATCGAAAGTTCTGAACGGGACTAGGGAAGTTGGTTCGAAAAGTAGCTCCAGCGTCGCGGAACGCAAGGACGATTTGGAGAGGAAGATCTTCGATCAATTGATGAACGTCGCCAATTCCATCCGATATCGACGTCCCAACGTTGGACTCGAAACGTCCAAGAGTCCCACCAATGCCAAATTTCGCGAGACCAAAGAAACGCGCCACGGAGAGGTTAGGGGAAATCTCGAGGAGACGGCCTGGAACGACTTGGATCGCCAAGACTTCGCCACCTACGAAATTACGGGGAACGTGTCCGTGGGCAGGACGTGCCGTTTCATGCCGGACAGGAACAGCGACGTGGATTGCAACGATTTGGACGAGTTGCCTTCGAGAAGGACGTTCGATCGTTCTTCTCGATCCAGGGATCGCGCGATTTTCGGCGAGCTCGCGCACGACGACGAGGACGACGAGCTCGAGCTCTGGAGCACGAGCAGCTACGATTTTCCTACGAAACGCGAGGCGAGGGCGAGAAATTGGGGAAGGAGCGTAGGAGGAAATTCTCCCGTGCAAGGGTGGAAAAGATTTCGAGAAACGGACGATTGTTCGCGATGGGGGGCCAGGGACGTGGCGCAGGGGTGCAGGGGGTGCACGCGCGGTTCGAGAGATCGGTCGGATATCGAGGCCGGTGTCGAAGCGAGGGACAAATTGAGATATCCGACGAGTCCAAGGGCGAGATTTCTCGAGCTCTTGCGGGAGAGGCGGCGGATCGTGGAGTGCTGCCGTGGCGCCAGTGCCTCTTGAACGAAGCGCCCCCCTCTTTACACCGAATTGTAAAATTGTATTTTTCTATTTTATTAACGCGGGGCGAACCATTTCGCCCTATTTTGTAAATATAATTCGGATCTTTTGTAAACCCCCTCCCTGCAACGACGGATTTAACTTATTCATCTTCTGGAACATTATGTATCCTGGAGTGGAACAACTCCAAGCAATTCGTCCCCAAGTAATTCTTAATATTAAATTACATTCTGTAAAAAAAGAGGAAAAAGAGAGAAAGAAAGAAAAGACGTGCTTTTTAATTCGGCTTGATAATTCGAAAAAATATTTATACACCGCCTTTCTCAATTATACGCGTATAATATATATCTCTTTATCGTTTTATTTAAAAATTAAACGGAAAGATTTTCCTTATTCGTCTCCTCGTATCCAACGCGTGTTCCATTACGAAAACGGTAGGAGGAAATAATTTATACGTACTCGAAAATAACGTAATTTATCGCGAAGCGATTTCTTTCAAAGGGAGGGGGAAAGGGAGTTTAAAACTGTCACGACGAAATTATCATATCCAATGGGATCTCTTTTACACCTCGTCGAAATATTTCGTCCGCTTAAGAAATTGAAATACGCAGTTGAAAAATAAACAAAGGAGATATACCGGACAGGATATTATAAGAAGAATGTACGGCAGCTGTCAACAATAATTTTTATCATTTTCTCCCTGCGAATAAATGTCTCCATTCATCCATCCATCCATCCATCCAGAGATCTCGGCACAGATTTTTAACGCGACAGATTTCACGAGAGAGAGAGAGAGAGAGAGAAATTCTCGACACGAACCGAAGTGAAATTACAATTCGAACACGCTTTGTCTCGTTATACGCTTTCTTACCGCGAATATAACCCACGCGTCATCGACGCGATAACCACGATCGAGTAATGATCACACTTTTCCACTTGGGAAAGTACAAGCATCGTCTACAAATCTCTTATCGTTTCTCTATCGCCGAGATCGATGCACTTGGTTCGATTCTTTTTTCCGCCGGCGAAAGGAAACGAGGGTGTGAAAGAAATGCATGCAACTTTTCGAGCGAACATTACAACCTTTTTCAGCCGTTTTCTGTCATAGCCGTGCGTTGCGAACAGGCATCGTTACGCTTGCATCAGCAATCGAAATACGACGTTTCGCGAGGAGAACACGCGCCCTCAATTTTCACGCCCTCCCCTTCCTCCATTCCCAATGCTCCCTCGATCGCCAAGGACAATTTCTTCCAAGGATATCGAAGGTAAGATCGACTAAAAGATTTCTTTTCTGATCGAACCCTTTTATAAAAACCGATTTATTCGATTATTCATTCAGAAATTGTTTTTGTTAATTCAAAGTCTATGATATAAACGAAGAGATTGAATAAAAAAAAAAATCTAGTTCCTTTTCAACGATCTGACAAGTAAAAATCTTGGGTTGCTCGCGGGATGATCGATATTCGGAAGGGGATGGAATTTTTGATAAACTGGAATTGGAACTGAATTACGGCCAATTTCGAATTGTAAAACGCTATGTGAACGATCAATTAAGAACAATGATTAACGTGGACAGGGAAATTAGATCAGCGTGTTCCAATAATGGAATGGAAGTTGCAAAGTTGGGATTAGAATTTCAATATCCGATAATATCCATCCGATGATTGGCTCGATGACGCGATCAAAGAAGTTTCGTTTCGTTTTTATCCGTATGCAACTTTATTCGTCGTAATTTGAAATTATCTCCAATTGGGCAATAGATATAGAGCGGATGCAATCTTTCGCGATAATTCCCGATCAATACAAATAATAAATAAAATTGCACACGTTTTATCGAAGTTTGGATTCGCCTTGCGTAACGATCTAACGCGATCATCTTCTATATTATTAATAAATTGTTCAAATCCAATCAACACTTTTCATTCAACATATATATATATATATATATAATCTTTCTCTCTATAACAATGGAATAATCGGCAAATAGCGATAAAAGAAATAAATAATATTTCAATAAACCGATCGGACGAAGTTACAAAAATAGGAAAGTCCCGACTAAGTACCTCGACAAAGAGTACGCGTTCCTTATCTTGTTGTTTATTCGTTAATTTATCATCTGGAGGGGTTATCCGAAGACGTAGAGCTATATTCGTGAGCTGTGTATATCGTGAACCGACGTGGACCGGTAGTCGATTTCGGGACGCGAGCAAGCAAACGATCGAGCGAGCGGACACGATCGTGTTTTTCCTTTAACCGCTTAACAAACTTTGTTATTATTATTATTATTATTATTATTGTTATTGTTATTGTTATTGTTATTATTATTATTATTATTATTATTAATCGTCGCTCGTTATTATTTATCAACTCATTTACAAAAGGGGGCAAAGTTTATCGTTCGTATTTTTTTTATTTTACACTTTATCGTGGACAAGTATGCTCACGCGTTTCATCACGCGACTCTCAACAATTCCGCTCGTCCCACGAATGTTCCGCGAATGTTTTCATCCTCCGCGAGCGAAATATTATTATTAGCTGGCCGTATTTATCGGTCTCGTAAAAAAAAAAAAAAGAAGGATAGGATATCGGAAGGAATATTACGACGATCGTCGGTCAGAGAGAGAGAGAGAGAGAGAGAGAGAAGAGAATCGAAAGTCTCTCTCTCTCTCTCTCTCTCTCTCTCTCTCTCTCTCTGTCTCTCTCTCTTCCCGGGGGAGGGAAAGGGGGTCGAGGGTCGCGGCGATAAGAATAAACGACGGCCTTCCACGATCGAATAAGTAACACGCGATCGATCGGCGTTACGCGCAGTCCATTTTTCCCGTTCGCGACCAACCACCACGCGCCGGACCGCATCATGAGAAATTTGAATCAGAACGGTGAAGAGTTCGATCTGATCGCCGAGAGCGGGAGCAACGATTTCGACTCGTCGACAACAACGATTCCCCAAGTAATTATCGTCACGTCGTCGCTTTCTCGCGCGCGTATGCACGGATGGGAATTAATTTCGTCGAAAGTGGAAGGGAGAGGGAGGGGGAGGAGGGGGGATGTTAACGCGCCTTTGAAACGAAACGAAACGGTGCGGTTCGATCCGGTTTCTGAGTGCATGTCGTTGCGACATTGCTCATTGCGCAAATACAGAGTTTCAAGTAGAGGTAGAGGACGTAGGGAACGGAAAAATGGGTTTTGCAATGGGAAGAAAAGGGAGATTGGGAAAAGGGAGAGGGATCGAACTAGTGGGCGAGTGTGTGCGTTTCTGTTTGCAGGAAGAGAACGACGAGGAAGAGCTGAACGATCCGTATTGCGTCGAGGATAATCCCCAGAGGATCACCTTCGAGGACGTCACGTCGGCCGCTTTCAAGATCAAATGCGGGATCATCAACACGCCATGCGTGGTATTACGATTTATTCACGCTTCGTTACCACGGTTATTAATATATCAATACCATACCATCGAATTTGATTAAAATATTCCTCGTCTAATGTTTCGATACAAACCGAAGTTTCCTCCCTCATATTTTTGGCAAGGGGCAAAAAATATAAATTAGAACCGAAATAATACAATTTTTCTTTTCACCTCGTTAAAAAGATCATTTCGAAGGATAGATAAATATTCATCCGATATGGTGAAATTCTTTCGAAAAATCTTTTTTTAAAAAAATCGCGAGTAAAAGTTTCTTCAATCACTTTACCTGATTCGACATCACGACGAAGATATACAAAAAAAAAAAAAAAATTGAATAAAAATACACATACAGCGTTTGTTGCACAGAAATCGCGGCTGTCGGATACGATCGGCGTGGATCTATACCTGAAGAAGGATTTCCTCCAAGTAACCGGAAGCTTCAAGGAGCGCGGGGCGAGGTACGCCCTGGTGATGCTGTCCGAGGAACAGAAGAAGATCGGCGTGATCTCGGCCTCGTTGGGTAACCACGCCGGTGCGCTATGCTATCACGGGTACAAGCTCGGTATACCGGTGACGGTGGTGATGCCCGTGATTGCGCCTATCATGAAGATCGTCGCTTGTCGCCAATACGGCGCGAACGTGATCGTCGATGGCCTCGACATGGAAGAGGCGAGGCGTATCGCGCTTAGACGGGCCAAGGAGAAAGGGCTGACGTATATAAATGGGTATACATATTCTACTTGCCGCTTTGTCACGCTACGAATTGAATTGGGCGAAAAGAAAAGAAAAGAAAAAGAAAAGAAAGTAACCGGTTAAAATTTTCGAATAAAAAGTTATTTCGAGATTAATATTTGATCATATAATTAGGCAATTGCCTGCAATTATTTCCAGGTTATTTAAAAATAAATTATCATAATTTCAACTTCTGTTTGCATTCTGCTCGTCATTGACTGGATAAAAAAATTTGTACACGTTGCTATTATTTTTATAAATATTCCTTCTTCCTCCTTACTTTCTAAATTCGTCATTTCGATAGATACGATTATCCGGACGTTATAGCGGGGCAAGGAACGCTGGGCCTCGAGATCGTGGAGCAAGTTTCCAACATAGATGCTGTGGTCGTACCGATCGGAGGCGGTGGCTTGATCGCGGGCGTAGCTCTGGCCGTGAAAAACCTTCATCCGAACGTAACGATTATCGTGAGCGATGATATCGTATCTTTCCTACTTTTTTTGTTTTTTTTCCTCCTCCCTCGAGGATAACATTTATATCGCTTTTATATCCCTCCGGCTAATTTTCACAGGGCGTTGAGTCGGAAAAGTGTCCCAGTTTCTACAAGGCACGAAAGGCGGATCGACCGACGTACACTCGTATAGATTCGACGTTGGCCGACGGTTTGGCCGTCCCAGTGGTGGGATACAACGCTTTTGCGACCGCGAATCCGTTGATCGACAAGTTGGTGGTGGTGAAGGAAGAATGGATCGCGATCGCGATCTTGAAACTGGTCGAGAACGAGAAGTGTATCGTCGAGGGCGCGGGGGCCACTGGATTGGCCGCCATCTTGGCCGGCCAATTGGAGGAGCTGAAAGGAAAAAGGTTGCTCCATCATTAATATCTCCCTTCGTATTACTTCGTATTCAATTATTTCACTTTTAATGCTAAAAACAAAATATAAACCAAGTTATCGAATCGATTAGTTTATCTTTAATGAAAAATTGGAAATGGAACTCGTCGAGCTTGTGTCCCATTAATACGTTGAATTGTTGGTCCAATCGTACCAATTCACGTAAATTGACTATTATTACACATTGCGTTTACCGTGTTTAATACCTGGTATTGTCAGTACGCGATTGTCAAAGAGAGTGGTAACGACTCGCCCCTTTGATTTTCGTTCGTAGAGTGGTGCTGCCTTTGTCGGGCGGAAACATCGACACGACGATCCTCGGCAGGTGTTTGGACCGCGGACTGGCGGCGGAAGGCCGGCTTTTGAAGTTCACAGTGACCGTATCCGATCGACCGGGCGGAATCGCGGAGCTTTGCAGAATGCTGGCGAGCATCGGTGTCTCGATAAAGGACATCATGCACGAGCGGGCTTGGATCATGTCGGACATCTTCAGCGTGGACGTGAAAGTGGTCTGCGAGACCAGGAATCGGGAACACGCGGAACAATTGAAGAACATGTTGTATCAGAAATATCAGAAGGTCGTGTTCGGGACCAGCGACGTGGCCACCCTGAATTTGCCTGTGAGCGTGTAACTCGCTCTCTCTCTCTCGGCTCCCAAAATCTCCTGTGATTAGGACGAGATTCGAGAATTTTAATCGTCCCAGAATCGATGGATCGCGATGTTTTGAGATCGAAGAAAACGATCTTTCTCTTTTAGATCAGATATTTACGTAATATTTTATTATAAAAATACGAAAGTTAGTGTTAGTTAGTGGATAGAGAGTTTTTGGGAACAATTCGAGATCGCTTTGAGCATCCCAGAATCGATGGATGCGATCGAAGAAAACGATTTTTCTTTTTTTTTCGATAGGATATTTATATATCTATTGTAAAAATACGAAAATTTAATTAAGAGAGAAGATTATAATTAAGAGAGAGCACACAGTTTGATTTTTGGAAATAATTCGAGATCGCTTTGAGCATCCCAGAATCGATGGATGCGATCGAAGAAAACGATTTTTCCTTTCGATCAGATATTTATGTAATACTTTATTATAAAAATACGAAAGTTACTGCGATCGAAGAAAACGATTTTTCTTTTTCTTTCGATAGGATATTTATATATCTATTGTAAAAATACAAAAATTTAATTAAGAGAGAGGATTATAATTAAAAGAGAGTACAGTTGATTTCTGGAAATAATTCGAGATCTCTTTGAAGATTCCAGAATCGATGAATGCGATCGAAGAAAACGATTTTTCTTTTCGATCAGATATTTATGTAATATTTTATTATAAAAATACGAAACTTATTATTAGTTAGTGGATAGAGAGTTTGATTTTTGGGAACAGTTCGAAAACGCTTTGAACATCCCAGAATCGATGAATACGATCGAAGAAAACGATTTTTCCTTTTCTTTCGATAAGATATTTATATATCTATTGTAAAAATACGAAAATTTAATTAAGAGAGAAGATTATAATTAAGAGAGAGCATACAGTTTGATTTTTGAAAATAATTCGAGATCACTTTGAAGATTCCAGAATCGATGAATGCGATCGAAGAAAACGATCTTTCTCTTTTCGATCAGATAATACTTTATTATAAAAATACGAAAGTTAATTAGTGGATTCAGAATTTGATTTTTGAGAACAATTCGAGATGGCTTTGAGCATTCCAAAAATCGGTGGATCGAAGAAAACGATCTTTCCTTTTCTTTCGATCGATTATTTATATATCTGTTGTAAAAATACGAAAATTATAATTAAGAGAGAGCACAGAGTTTGATTTTTGGGAACAAGAATCATTAAACGTCTCAAGAATCAATGGATTTTTCGATCGAAGAAAACGATCTTTCCTTTGGATATTTATATATATCATTATAAAAATATGAAAATTAGTATTAAGAGAGAAAGCAGCGTTTGATTTTTATAAACTTAATTCACTTTGTAGAATATTGCGGAATCGATAGACTAGATAGAGTATTCGATCGAGGAACGAATCTTTGGATCGAAAATTTATATACCTGTTGTAAAAATACAAGAATTACTATCAAAACAAAGTATACAATGTTTCAGTTTTACCGATTGAGTCCCGCAAATCAGAGAAAACTGGGTATGTACTTTATCGATTTCCATTATACGAATTATTATTCCATAATTCAACCAGCGAGAAAAGTTCCTACAAGAATGGAATAATTACAGTTGTCTCAAAAAACGGCAGTTGTTTCAAACGAGCAATCTCCCCGCGTTATTTGCATTCGAAAGCTTAGATTCGAAGACTCGAAATTCGCAACGCGCATCGAGGTATAAACACCCGCGAAATTGATTATCAATTTCGACTTTGGTTGGGCAGAGATAGCAAACGAAAACGAGAGTAATTCCACCCTTTCGCAGATCGTTTTACGTCGAAGGATTATTACGTGTTGTGCCACTTTCGTATGGGCACAATTTTTCGTTTCTCGTTACGCCACGAGAATTAATTCCGTCGAATGCAAGTTGGGAGACAAGAATTTATCGGAGAATCTTCGAAACGGTGCTCGATCGTCTCGTGCGTAGCGACATCTGTGCTCATTGCGCATAGTTTCGAGTAGAACGGATCGGCTTCGAAAAAGAATGGAACGGGAGGAATCGAACGTTGTGTGTTTTCGTCTCGTTTTACGTCGAGGGGTTACATGTTGCCATTTTCATACGGGCCCGTTTTTCGTAACCGTTCGTTTACGAGTTCGATAACGATTCATCACGTAATTATCACGTTACGCCACGCCATTGGACGAGAATTAATTTCGTCGAGTGCAAGGGGGGGAACGCAGCAAGTGAAGGAGGAGGATCTGATCGATCCGTATTGCGTCGAGGATAATCCTCAGACGATCCCTTTCAAGAACGTCACGTCGGCCGCTTTCAAGATCAAATACGACATCGTCAATACACCATGCGTGGTACGATCTTTATCCCACTTCATCACATTTAACGCGATTATCAACGTATTCCATTAAATTTAATGAAAATATTCCTGGTTTAATATTTCACACGTAAAAAAAAAAACGGAAGCTTCGTTCATTTCGTGACAAATTACACCTGAACAAGCGCGGAGAATTTTTTTTTAACCTCGTCGAAAGATTATTTCGAAGAATAAACAGACATTACATCCTTCGACGAGATGTCTACGTTCCTCTGCATTATTATTTTTCTCCAAGGAATCGTCTTCCAAAAAATCCAATACTCGAATAAAAAAGCTTCTTCGTTCACACGAACCATTCTAAAACCGAAAATCGAACGATCTTAACCCTTCGCTCCAGGCCTATTTCGTTCGAACCAGACTCAGACCCGCGCGTTCGGTTGCCTCATAAGATCACCATAAGATAATTACTCATAAGATAAGTTAGGAACCTATTCGTGAAGCGATATTCTAAAAAAAATCAAACGTAAATAAATATTGTCGCCGTTCAAATTGCCGCAACAATCCCAGTGGTGCCGGAGAGTCACCGCTGGAGAGCAAAGGGTTAATATTCCTAGGAAACGGATTCACGACGAATATATAGAGATATTCCATTGCTCTTTCCCCTCGAAAATTACCCTCTCGTAGAGAAGAAAACTACCCTCTCGTGAAGAAGAAAAAAAGTAACAAATATCGCGCTATTGTTGCACAGAAATCGCGGCTGTCGGATACGATCGGCGTGGATCTGTACCTGAAGAAGGATTTCCTCCAAGTAACCGGAAGCTTCAAGGAGCGAGGGGCGAGGTACGCCCTGATGATGCTGACCGACGAACAGAAGAAGCTCGGCGTGGTCTCGGCCTCGTGCGGTAACCACGCCGCGGCAATCTCTTATCACGGGTACAAGCTCGGTATACCGGTGACCGTGGTGATGCCCGTGATTGCGCCTGTCATCAAGATCATCGCCTGTCGCCAATACGGCGCGAACGTGATCATCCATGGCCCCGATATGGAAGAGGCGAGGCGTACCGCGCTCAGAACGGGCAAGGAGAAAGGGATGGTGTACATAAATGGGTAGGGGCACTTACTTGCGATGACGACGACACTTTCTCGTTCGCCGCTGAACAGTTAAAGAAAAGTTAAAATTTTCGAATAAAATTATTTCGAACGTTTGATACAATCTACAATCGTTTCTGGGTTATGGATAAATTCTTCAACGATAAATTATCCTCAAAATTTTGGCTATCACCGGTTACCTTTTCTGGATAAAGAAAAAGAGAATTTGAGGAAAATTTTCTCCACCGTCTTTAAATTATTCCTCATCTCACTGTTTTTTCTCTATTCACGTTTCTTCAGATACGATCACCCGGACATTGTGGCGGGACAAGGGACGCTCGGGCTCGAGATCGTGGAACAGGTGCCCAACATAGACGCTGTGGTGATTCCGATCGGAGGGGGTGGTTTGATCGCGGGCGTAGCGCTTGCGGTGAAAAGCCTTCATCCCGGTGTAATGATTGTCGTGAGCGACATATATATTTTCCCTACTTTTTCTTTCCTTCTCCCTTCCTCGAGATCGAGGAACGAACGATATAGCTTCTTTCCTTCCCCCCAATTCCTTCGGCCAATTTTCGCAGGGCGTTGAGTCGGAAACGTGTCCAAGTTTCTACAAGGCAAGGAAAGCGGGTCGACCGACGTACACACCCACAGGTCCGACACTGGCCGAGGGCCTTGCCGTCCCCGTGGTTGGATACAACGCCTTTGCGACCGCGAATCCGTTGATCGACAAAGTGGTGGTGGTGAGGGAGGATTGGATCGCCGTCGCGATCTTGAAACTGCTCGAGGACGAGAAGTGCATCGTCGAGGGGGCCGGTGCTATTGGCTTGGCCGCCATCTTGGCCGGTCAGCTGGAAGAATTGAAAGGGAAAAGGTTGCTCCATCGCAATAATATTCTTTTTCTTATCTAATCTCTCTTGTCCCTATCTTCCCTCGTATATTTTATATTCAATACTTCGTTCACTTTTAATGCTGCAACCAACACGAAAATATGAAAATATATAACGTAGACTAACATATGAGAATCGATCCTTTTATCTTGGACGAGAAGTTATAAACTAGGTTAATTTGTATCTCATTAAACTGTTCGTCCTCATAAATTCACGTTGAATATCATAACTGAAAACTTGATTGTTATTATAGTTTTTTTCTTTTTTCTTTACACTTTGCACAACTGTGTTCAATACTTGTCAGTACAAGATTGTCAAAGGGATGGTAAGAACGCGGCCCTTTGATTTCCGTTTTGTAGAGTGGTGCTGCCTCTGTCCGGCGGAAACATCGGCACATCGGTCCTCGTCAGGTGTTTGGAAAGGGGATTGGCGGTGGAAGGCCGGCTTTTGAAGTTCACAGTGACCGTATCCGATCGACCGGACGAAATCGCGGAGCTTTGCAGAATGCTGGCGAGCATGGATGCCTCGATAAAGGACATCATGTACGAGCGGAGTTGGATCATGACGGACTTCTTCAGCGTGGACGTGAGAGTGGTCTGCGAGACCAGGAATCGGGAACAAACGGAACAATTGAAGAAGATGCTGTATCAGAAATATCAGAGGATTACGTTCGCCCCTAGCGACGTGGCAGCTCTGACTTCGCATTAAGCGTGTTACTCGCCGTCTCTCGGCTCCGAAACTTTTGATGATTAGGACGAGATTCGAGAATTTGAATCATCCCAGAATCGATGGATCGCGGGCCTTGCGGTCGAGGAAAACGATTTTTCTTTCGATCAGATATTTATTTGATATTTTATTATAAAAATACGGAGGTTACTATTAGAGGGCACAGCGTTTGATTATTGGGAACAATTCGAGATCGCTTTGAATATCTCAGAATCGATGGATGCGATCGAAGAAAACGATCTTTCCCTTTTCGATCAGATATTTACGTAATATTTTATAAAAATACGGAAATTAATGGATACAGCGTTTTATTTTTGGAAACAATTCGAGATCGCTTTGAACATCCCAGAATCGATGAATGCGATCGAAGAAAACGATTTTTCCTTTTCTTTCGATCGGATATTTATATATCTATTGTAGAAATACAAAAATTATAATTAAAAGGGAAAATTATAATTAAGAGACAGTACACAGTTTGATTTTTGGAAATAATTCGAGATCGTTTTGAGCATCCCAGAATCGATGGATGCGATCGAAGAAAACGATTTTTCCTTTTCGATTGGATATTTATATATCTATTGTAGAAATACAAAAATTATAATTAAGAGAGAAAATTATAATTAAGAGACAGTACAGAGTTTGATTTTTGGAAATAATTCGAAATCGTTTTGAGCATCCCAGAATCGATGGATGCGATCGAAGAAAACGATCTTTCGATCGGTTATTTACATATTCGTAATATACATTTACATATTCGTATATACATTATCGTAAAATTTATTATTAAGTGAGAGTATAGAGTTCAATTTTTAGAAACAATTTGAGATCGCCCTTAAATATCCCAGTATGGATGGATGCGATCGAAGAAAACGATCTTGCCCTTTTCGATCAGATATTTACGTAATATTTTATAAAAATACGGAAATTAGTGGATACAGCGTTTGATTTTTGGGAACAATTCGAGATCGCTTTGAACATCCCAAAATCGATGAATGCGATCGAAGAAAACGATTTTTTCTTTTCGATCGGATATTTATATATCTATTGTAGAAATACAAAAATTATAATTAAGAGAGAGTATAGCGTTTGATTATTGGGAACAATTGAAGATCGCTTTGAACATCCCAAAATCGATGAATGCGATCGCAGAAAACGATTTGTCTCTTTCGATCGGTTATTTATACCTATCGTAAAATTTATTATTAAGAGTATAGAGTTGAATTTTTAGGAACAATTTGAGATCGTCTTTGAACATCCTAGAATCGATGGATGCGATCGATTTTTTCCTTTCGATCATATATTTACTTGATATTTTATTATAAAAATACGGAGGTTACTTTTAAAGGGCACAGCATTTGATTTTTATAAATTGAAATCACTTTGAATATTACGGAATGTTGTAGATTTTTCGATCGTAGAAAACGAGTTTTCCTTCGGATCAAATATTTACATATATCATTATAAAAATATGAATATTAAAAGAGAAAGCGCGGCGTTTGATTTTTATAAACTTAATTCATTTTGCGGAATATCGCGAAATCGATGGACGTAGAGTACTCCATCGAAGAATCTTTGGATCAAAAATTTATATACCTGTTGTAAAAATACAAGAATTACTGTCAAGAGAGACTACATCGTTTGAGTCTTATCCGATTGAAAATGATTCTCGAGCCGTGAAACAGTGGAAACCTTGGAATATTCCATCGATTTCCATTGCATTGAGTTATCGTCCTCCGAGCGAGAGAAGTTTTTCGATATATCGATAAGGATGGAACGGCTCGTCTCAAAAACCGAGTTGGCCGCGTTTTCAAACGAGCAATCTCCCCGCGTTATTTGCATTCGAAAGAGCGGAATTTCGAGGGCTCGAAATTCGGAACGCGTGCCGTCCATCGAGGTGTAAACGTGTACACACGCGAAATTGATTATCAGTTTCGACTTTGGTTGGGCAGAGATAGTAACGGGGACGGGAGTAATTCCACCCCTTTTGCAAATCGTTTTCGCCGCGTTTTACGTCGAGGGATTACGTGTTTTCATACGATTGGGTTTTTTTCGCGTAATCGTTCGTTTACGATTTCGATAACGATGAGTCCCTTATTGCGGGATTACCGCAAATTCCACGTCGCTTCACTGTCCTTCCCCACCAATTATTCCCCGTTTTTCTACGAACGGAGGCGGCGATTTTGCGCTTCGTTGGCTGCGACTACGAATACGCCGTCTTACACATCTCCTTGACGAAGCATAAATCGAAAATGGGCTACCACTTCGTTCGAATGTTATTCACGGTGATAAATGTGAAAAGGTGAAATTCTGACTGGAAAATAATTTAAAATGTATCGATTATTGACATATATACAGGATGTGTATATTTGGAACTGGATGAGTTTCCTTTGACCTTCAACGTTCCATCGAGGACAAATTCCATTATTATTTCTTCCATCCTTAACTTAATTTCGTTCCGTTTGCGGAAGAGAGAAGGGGGAATTCTTTGAGGGAGCTTGAGCGGTTTCCCCAAAGCGTGATAACATCACCCCGTTTAAAAGGAAGGGAATGTTAATATTTTTCGCTCCGAGAGTCGAGTCAATTTCAACGCGGCCCGAACGCCGAATAAAAAATGAGTTCCAACGGAGCGGGAAAATAAATTTCCCGCGTGTTTTCGGCCGAGCATTTTCCACGAAGCTGTCAGGGGATTAATGCATCTTTACGCCCGCGACTGCTCGCTTTCCTCGCGATGCAACACGCCCTGTGAATAATATATCGCACGCGTTACATCGCAAAGAATAATAAAAAAAAAAAAAAAAAAAAAAAAAAAAAAAAAAAAAAAAAACAGAAAAACAGAAAAAAAGAGAAAAATAATACAAAAGGTGTTCCTGGTTTCGATTTGAAAAGGCGACGACTTTTCAAGCTCTCGAGCAATACGACGTGTGACGACGCGTCACCTTTCTAATATCGGACTGCACCTCGGATGAGTTATGATACGTGGAACCAGGCAAAGAGGAGTGAAATGGCGAGGAAAGAGGCTGCCGGCAACGAAAGATTCCTCGTTTCTTCTTTCTTCCTTTCTTCCTTTTTTTTTTTTTTCCCTCCCTCTTTTCACCATCCCCCCTCGGCCCGAGACGCCAAAAGAGGCGAAAGGAAAAGGGGGAAAGTGGAACAACGTTGCGCCACGGGGGATGCCGCGGCTTCTGAACTCATTGTCGAGTTAGCTTGGAAAGGAGGATGGAGGAAATTTTTTTTTTTCCTCCCTTTCAATTCGACGGACTCGAATCAGCCCGATCAGAAGATACGTTTCGAATAATTGGAACCGAACACTGCTTCTTCCATACCATCCCACGAATTCACCGACCTTTAACCAAAACGCGTTAACTTTCCCCATTTCCCGGATTCGGTCTGCCGCATTTTCACCTTTTCACCGTGAATTTATCCGTGGACTCGTGGCAAACCGTGGATTAAGAACGGCTAAAGTTTTTCGGCCGAAATTTTTCCCCTCGTCTTTTTCTTTTTTTTTTTTTTCCCCTCTCCACGGAGGAGAGAAAAACGAAAACGAGAAAGAGAGAGAGAGAGAGAGAGAGAAAAAGTGGCGGCGGCCTGAATTTACAGCATTTAATATCGGCAAAATGAAGTACGAGCAAGGACGGAGAGCGCGGCAAGAAGGCCGCCATTTTGTGGCATCGATAAATCCATTTTATTGCACTGGCTTGTACGTAGGCGGTCTGACTACGGTTACCGGGGAGAGCCTACCTTTACTCTTATATACTCTTATACACTCTTTCTCTGGTGTGTGTATAACAAATATGGAATAAAAGGAAAAAAAAAAAAAGGAAAGGAAAACCAATGGCCAAGACCAACCCTCACTAGAGGGGCATCAACTTTTATCTTACTCTTTCATTCGATCGCCTCTCTTCACGCATCCTCCCCTTTCTAAACCAAGGCAAAACGCTTTGGCAATCTCGAACACGAATTTTCTTTCTTTGCGTAAATTTTGATGCGTAATAATTTTTTCTTCTTTTTTCCTTCCTTTGATTCAAGATGTTTTAAAAAGGAAAACACTCTGGGATGGTTATTCGTATAATATTCGTTCTCTCTTTTCTATCCGGAGAGACAGAAATGTATATATATATATATATATATATATATGATTCGATAGCTTCTCGACACGTGACAAGATAAGACAATTTTCTCAGCTATCTACCAGAAATATGGTGTCAATCAATCAAAAAAAAAAAAAAAAAAATATGCCACCAGTTTTAGTCTAATTTCTCGATCTCTCCATCGTGGGAAAAAAATTTGGCTGGGGTGAGGAAAAATCGTGATGGAATTTTTCGAGGAGTTGATGAGAAGTCGAGGGATGAAAGTCGAGGGGGTTCGGTTGAGAAAGAGATTTTCTCTCGCGGGAGGGGGGGGGAGGGAGGGCAGAGTTTTCCAAGATGAAAGTTAATTCCGCTGGATAATCTCAACCCCCGGGCCTGGAGCGGGTGTAACGAGGGCGAAGAAAGATCTGTCACCCTTCCTCGCTCCTTTTTCAGCTTGGAAATCTTGGAAGCGGATCGAGAAGTTCGCCGAATTTATGAGATTTCGGGTTTTCGGGTAAGGGAGAGGGGCCAGTCCCAGCAGGAGGGAGGGGGAGAGGGATTAACTTGGTCGAGCCATTTTGTCGACCGCGAGAGGGCTTTGTGACCAGAGGGAGAGGGGGGAGAAGACACATTCCCAGCAATTAGCCAACCCTGTGGTGTCTCCGTGTCCCCTCTGTACATCGCCGCCGGTGATGCACTCGTAAAATCGCTGGCCGGCCAAATGTCTCTATATTCATCTTATCATGCATGTGTACCATCGATCGATGAAGAAGATGCTCAGTGAAATTCGATGAAAATTCGAATGAAACTTAATCATCCATGGATGTTGGGATAATCATGAATAATAAAGATCCTCCAATAACGTTTAAGACGATATAATTTTCGATCGAACGTCGTTGGAGCGTTTCCCTC